TGTTTCACCTCAGACATGAAAGAAGTCCAGAAGCTCAAAATGAAACTCTTTTGACAACTCCTCTAGATCTTTTTGCCAATTGGTAGAGTGTGATAACATGTACTGCCTAAGGAGCTTAGATCAATATGAAAAAAATCTAGCATCTGTTTCACAGCAATATCTAACCACTAATTTCACGTGTATTTTTTTAGGTTGCTAGTAATTCATACAGATTCTGTTATTTCCTTCAAAAAATCTAACAATATCATAGCTTTCTCTCTAGCAATACTCACAGTATTTTTTTCAGAGTTCCACACCAAGTCTTTAAAAGCCAGCTGGGAGGGTGTGAGTTCAGGCTGTATGAAGTAACTTGTTCGAAATTGATTACCTACAAAATAACATTTTTTTTTTCCTGTTATTTGCACTCCCTCCATGACCTGAAGGGCCGGAAGGGATTTGATATTTAAACTTCCTCACAAAGGAATAGACAACACTTCATCTATCCCAGCACAAAAATCAATTTTTGCAATGTCAATAGGAAGTATCCTCAGAAGAGAAAGTCACTAAGAAATTTCTTATGGCCTCACCCAGATTTATCTCACCCAGATAAATAAATACTAAATTAGAGGACAAAAATCAATTTTTGCAATGTCAATAGGAAGTATTCTCAGAGGAGGAAGTCACTAAGAAATTTCTTATGGCCTTTATGTAGCCAGGATCTCACCCAGATAAATAAGCACTAAATTAGAGAAAAAGGTGAGAGTGTTTTCAGATTACTTAACGCAAAGTAATGACAAAAGAAAGTCACCACAGATGCTTAATAACCCTGCACTGCGATTTTTATGAGAAAATCTTACCTTCTTCTAAGAGCTGATGAAGTGTGGATAGGCGGAACCCTGCAGGAATGGCTCCCATGGTCGTCAATATCTCTACTGTGTCATTCTACTCAAATAAAGATTGATATTTTTATTCCTGCTATTAAATAGGTAGTTCTTTGCCAACTTACAGCTCACTGGGAGCCAATATGAAAGGCTTGGGGCATCAGTCAAGTCTTTGAAGCTGGTTTGGCTCATTACTGATACCAAGCCTACTTCACGTGGTAATTAGCATGATAGTAGCTCAAGTTACTGTGTAAGAAAAACACTTACCTCTGTGACAGCTCTTCTTACAGCATTCCTGTGAGAATCTGTCCTAGAAGAAAAATAATATTATTTTATAAATGCATCATGGACAAAAATTTAAAACTGAATCCACGTGTGTCTTTAAATACCAGAAGTTTAGTATCTGAGGTAGATCTGGCTATTAATAACAACATATTTCCAGCTATTAATACTAACTGGTAGAGCAGCTCATGAGCAGTAATACCAGTGATTCTTTGACTATATGAGACAGTGAAGGGAAAAGAAAATCCCAAAAATCTAAGAAATTATGTCTCCACACTGAAATTAGTGGAACAGAGGAAAATCTGAACGTCTCCTTTATTGAAAACATAAAGGACCAAAAACACAGGTGAGGTATTCCCCCTGTAAATCATGTATTGCGATATTTAAGGAGAAGACAGGAAGAATAATTTTGTGTATATTTGCTTTAGCATCACTATATTTACCTTCTTTCAATTTCAGTTCCACTTGCTGTTTCATCTACCTCCTCTGTCTGCTCTTCACTTTCTTCTTGGCTTTCTTCATCATTATTATAGACCTGCAATTCAGATTCAGAAGCAGAAAGCATTTGCTTTCATTACAGTTTTGTTTAAAAGAATGTTCTCTGACCATAGTGTGAGCTCATAGTTTAGAAGAGGAGTTTTTTCCTGCATGCAGAGTGCTGTAGCCACAGCTGCAGAACTAAGGGGTCAGTTCTACAGTATAGGACCAAAATATTCTTGCCAGGGCATGTTGAACAAGAAAATGCATTTACAAAAGCACACTTTTTAAAGAGAAAATGCATCAATATCATGCAGCACAAAGTTAGCTACTCAACACAGCCTTTAGTTATATTCTGAAAATCTCTATATATCACAGTATTTATAAAAATAGATACCATAATAATCTGTAACAATCTATAATTATATCACAGCATTAAGGTCGGACTGGCAGAGCTCAGTCAATCCATACTGAGCACCCATGTGCAAACGGATAGCACAACTGCACATGGGATGTGTATGCACACTACACACACTAACCTGAGTAAGCTACTCTCAGTAGAAAAAAATGCTAAAGGACTCAAAAATTATTTTTGAAAAGGATATTTCGTGTTAAATTATCAAAAAATAAATCCTCCTTCCATATGAATTTACATTTCAAATCAATCAAAAAAAATAAAGCCTAGTTATTCCATAGCAACTTGAGGCCTTCAGAGTTGTCCTTTAGTGACAAAGATTATCATGTCGCATCCTCACAGGACTCAAAATTCTGTCTTTGTTAACTTCCTCCAAACACATACATATATGGTGTTATTTGAAAATAACTGGAAAAATAGCAGGGTGTAGCTACATGAGCATTAGGGTCAATTTTATACAGCTATTTAAGCAGTTACATAAGATAACAGAGATCATTCTCTAAAGGAATAAGGTGACAGCACACTCACTGCAAGGTAGGTTTTAGGAACAAGTCCTCTCTCCCCTTTGGAATTTTCAGCTACCCACCAGCCGTCGGCCTTCTTGTCATGTATAAGCAGGACTTCCCCTTTCTTCACCATCGGAAAAAGACAGAGACAAAACACGACCAATAGGTTTAAATCCAAGTGTTTCAAAAAGGTGGGTCCCAGACACACTTGTCATTCAGATTCTTCCCATAACAGGGATCAGAGACTATCACTAGGGATTCTGCTACTACAGAAGATGGCAAACTGGACTCCACTAAGCCAGCTGAATCTTGGAAAAAGCCATTTCTCCCAAAATTCTCCAAGTAAATGGCTGAATCCCAGAAGCAGAGGATTTAGTTATACTTACTGGTTAGAATAGGATTATCTGCAGTAACAGAGCAGTGAGAGAGACTTTTACAGAGCTATATTTACTTTAAATGTGAGGTCCCCTTCTTGCTGTGCGATAAAGTTTCCCACTGTGATACATTCTTTAACATCTGGATCATCCAACAATTCATCTTCATCATCTGCTTCATCACTGTCTTCCTCCTCACTACTTTCTTCCTCTTCTTCACCATCATCCTCTTCATTTTCATCTTCTGTTTGGGCATCCTTCTGATCTCTACCCAAACCAAAAAAAAAAAAAAAACCACATCAAAATATGTTTTTTTTATTTTTGCAGAACTTCTCAAAATTTCTCTCAAAAGCTTGCAATATGGCTTCTCCACAAGCTTCTTAACCAGATATAGAAATTTCATTCCTGCATGTTATTCTCCAGGCTGATCTGGAGAAACTCCAAAATCCCAGTGGTGTTTCATCCCTAACACCACAGTGTTGACAGCCACAGCTTTGCAGTTAACTGCCCTATTAAAAGCATCCAGCAAGTCACTCTTGCCTGCACCAACAGAGCAAGACCCACATAAACCAGCTCTTGAATAGCCACATGCACTGTTAAATACTCTGCTCTGAGAAGGTCTGCATATGTACAATTTATGAAAATAAGTTATATTTAAGCTACTTACACAGCGTAAGTTGTGTTATCCTGATCCAGTATCAGAGAAAGTTTCTGCAGCTGCTGAGAAAGCTTTTGCAATAGTTTTTCTTCTTCTTCTTTCCTCTGATTATAATTCCCTACAGGTGCAGGCTCATCAGTCTAAGAAAAGAAAAAGAATATAATAAAGTGCTCAAAGAATCAAACAAGGCTAAAATTTCCCCCCAAAATTAGTTTCTCAGGCATTTCTCACAGATTTCACCCTCATAGGCTGCTGTCATCCCCGCTCAGTGTCAGCTCTCATGTTCTCTTACTCCGCCAACACTAAATTTCATGTTAAATTTCAAATCTGCATTCCCCACTCCCAGATTAACTTCCATACTTGATATACATTATAGTTGATAAACATTTTAAGGCTATAATTTGTACATAATGAAGCATAGGAAATATGTTTTTATATAAAATTTAAGTGTTTCTCAGACTGCAATTAGGGATTATGCAGTGCTAGGCATTGCTCTTGTCCTGAAGCACCTAAAAACCTAAGGATATTGGTGTTCTGTGACCATTTAGTGTGATGCACTTTAAGGAAAGTCATTAACTAATTTCCTCTATATACTTACCTTTTTCAAATTCTGAAGTACATTTGTATTCTCCTCTACAGACTTCCTCAGCTGCATACATCTGTATTGAAAGCAAGACAGCCAGACTGTGCTTTCTCATCTCTGATAAACATGTGATCCAAAACACGCATAATCACTGAAATTTGTAGATTTAGACACCCGGACCTTCATTCAATTACAAATTACAGCTTTACAAATACTAATACCTGCCCAAATGGCAGCTCATAAGCCAGTAATTTAGTGTTCCTTTAGAAAAGGTGTACTAACAAAATTATTTAGAATCAAAGTCTCAGTAAAAGACGTAGAACAGAGAAACAAAACAAAACAAACTCCATTGCAAGCGTGCACTGTACATAGAAGTTGTGCTTACTTGTCCTTTCCTAAAGACAACTAAAAAGCAGCAGTGCAGTGCCACAGTACATTACTGAATGTTATTTTTAAAGGGGAAAAATGGAACTTGCTAGTGTAATCTGCTGATTTACAGACATCTAAGCAAATAAATAATGGTTCCTCACGGGACTTCTTGCAGTTATGCATGCTCCTTGACACATTAAAGGGCTGTGTTATTCAGAGTGGCCCAGCTGGTCACATCTCATCCCTCTAGGCTGTGTCAATATTGCAGCAACACAGAAAACCGATGCCAAGAACTAGCCTTCAACTACCAGGGTAGCATCTACTGTTTAAAAGAAAGAAAGAAAGAAAAAAAGTCCCGGCCTTCTCTTGCTAAAATGCAAGGCACCAAATGGATGGCTGCTGCAAGCTGTGGAACGTATGACTATGTGCACTTGGGACTGCTGTGGGTGCTCTCAGAGCCAGCCCAGGAGCAGAGCTAGGCTGGTACCTGATCCTGCCAGTGCGCAGGGACATGCTTGGCTTTATGGTCACTTCATGTCCTACTGATGGAAGCTCAATCTGGCCATAAGCTACAAATCCCAGGGAAGGAGCAAGGTGGGATCACACTTGGCACATGAACCAGCTCCCAGCTGTGCCACACATAAATAATTACATCCTTCCACAACACGGCCTGAATTGCGTACTGACCAAGGGAGTGAGAGGAACCAATACGCCACTGGGTTAGAATTAGGTGCTCTTTCATGGGCAAAAATAACGAAACAGCAGCAAACCCTCTTCCCACAT